AGATAAGATAAGATAAGATAAGATAAGATAAGATAAGATAAGATAAGATAAGATAAGATAAGATAAGATAAGATAAGATAAGATAAGATAAGATAGAACTTTATTAATCCCTCGGGTGGGTTCCTCTGGGAAATTCGATAAGTAAGCTGATTTGTTATTTTATTGATGTGCAAATAAAAACAGTCACAGCTGTAAAACTTTCAAATCAACGGCTTTAGTTATAACAGCTCTGATATGTTTATTTACTAAAAAAAACCCCAAAGACTGCACTGTAAACAGGATTTGAGACCTGCAAACTCTTGGAATTATTAAGCTTTCCCAATAAAATTATGTATTTCAATTGTAAATGACCGTCAGTTACTTACCTTGAATCCATGTCCTTGCGATCAGGATTGGGGCTGGAAGTAGGTGTAAGGTCCAGCTTGGAAGGAAAAGCGGTTCTGTCCTCCAGGGGGCTCGGGGTCCTGGTCCAATTCTGCCAGGGATTCTGGGAAGGATGTCCGGAGGATTGCGAGTCATTGTCCTGGTTTGGTCGTTGGTTGCCGTGGAAGGGGAGCGTCTGGGTGTCCAATTCCAATGGGACCCCTACAATTCGGTCTTGCCTAAGGAGGGGGCGGCGGCCGTGTGTTGATGAGCTGCGAGGCTTAGAGCCCAGCGGAGGGTTTCCCTGACTGGTGGTAGATGAAGGAGGATCCAGAGAAGACTCCTCTGCATCGAAACCCGTGTTGTCGTAGTGAGGTGCGTCAACCCAGTCAAAAGGCTCACTAAGTGGACGCCGATCCCCACGTTGCTGCAGGGTTCCTGATGGAGGAGTTTCTCTCTGAGACAGCAGGGGCTTGGAGTCAATGGGCTTGGGAAATGACTGGGCAAGTCTACAAAGACAGAAAATATCAATCACTGATTATACTGTGGGAGAAAAACCAAGAAGATCAAAATTGCAAACAGGCGACATGCCACGTGGATGTGTGTTGCACATTTAATCAGAGACAATGAGCTCAGAGGACAGATCAACTTTCTCTCCCTTTCTCTCTGATGTCTGTCACACCCATTAGGCCAGAAACCATGTTTGTGTTAGTTATTGTTTCCAAGAGAACACATGCCTTCAAACTCCCTCGCTACTACTTACAGACTGCAAATATCATGTTCCACAAGTAGAAATAAAATACTGCAGTTGTACCTCACTTCAGGGCATGTGGATTAACAGATTTAGTGTCAAACAATACTAAAACCAGCTACCATCCTCCAGGGCCTGCTTAAAACAAGAAGAAACATGGGAAGGACAAGGAGAAGAAAACTAGCATTATTGGACACTATGTTTTGACTGAGCTAAGGAGACACTGTGGTGTCTAACAGAAACAGAAAACATCCGTAAGGTACAGCCAGACAGTCCAATCTGCTAAACCGAAGATTATCGGTGGAGCGAATTTGAACATCTGTGTGTAATATAAACACATATATTGCACATTTCTGTTTTATTCTATGTCTTGCTGTAGATAGCTGATATATCAGTGACAGATATTTTATTGTTACTGCCATCCAGTCTGAGCAATATGATTGAGACTACACTGACAGTGTCGTAAATATGACAGGCAGACTAAGATGACATGTTTTTTTTATAGCTGTAACATTTCTGATTAGAACTCAAAACTGTCCCAAAAAGTTTTCATAACATTTTTATCCCTTTCCAACCAACATCATCAAGTGCACTGCACCCAGACTTAAAACTTCAGGAGACAGCCCAAACCTTTTTATTTGCTTTTATAATGCACTGGGGCAAAAAAAAACAACCCTCCTCTGGATAGTAACATGACTGAAGCTCAGACCAGACAGCTTTGAAGCTGAGAGAGAAAATCCTAAAGAGAAGTCTGCAGTGTTCCAGTGAGCCTCTCTGACCTTGACAGAGCAAGCAGGAAGATGGATGTGACAGATTACAGATGGAGAGAAACTGAAGTGGGGTTACAATTGAAATGTACAAGAGATGACGGACAGCGGGAGGGAGGAGTCATGAAACGGGCGTGCGCACCTGTTGGTCCAGTGCGTCTGAGGGGCCTGGTCCTTGCTGGGAGGCGGTAGGGCGGGATTGTGGGGGTGTCCGTGCGACAGCGTGTGTGAGTGCGCGTTGCCGGGCGGGTTGGAGGAGCCCGAGGAGCCCTGTGAGGGAGAGTAATCGGAGTAGGTGGCCGATGAGCCGCTGTGGTTCAGACAGTGGAGTTTATCAACCTCTTCATCTGTAGACTCTGGACAGACAGAAGCAGACACACAGCACGTCCTCTTTGTGATCAACATCATTATAGTTTTGGATTTTCCATTGAACTTTTGTTCTTCATGTTATTCATTTTCAACCTTTGCTTTCTATTGCATTTTGGTACCAGAAGCTTGCTTCATGTTAGTTTTCTTTCCTTAAATTTCGATTCAGTACAGCATAATCACACTATTTTTGTATTATTGTTAGTTAACTATATTAAACTTATCTTTACTATATTGCTAATTGAAAAAAATGACCAAATGAAGCTCAAAACCAGTTTTGGCAGATATGCTTTAAATTGTTTTGGGAGCACTGAGGGTGAGCACTGCGGTATACCGCCAGTACATATTTTCTGCAACTATATCTATGTCACTCCCATGCTGCACCTTTCTCTGGCCCCTTACATGTACCACCCAATTGCTACAATTACAGATCAGGCTCCACTCCATCAGGTGACCGATTGAGCAGTATCTAATGTCCTCTGGGTCCGACCTATTCTGAGTTTTTGTCCCCCAATTTAATTACCTGGGAATTCAGCCAATGCACTTTAACCTCCTAGGACCTGGCATCCACATATGTGGACATCACATTTTGGGTTGTTTAGAGCAAAATACAAAATGTTGCTCTACAAGGGCCTGATTTCCACTTACGAGGACGTTATACTGCCACTGTTCTATCAAAATTTAAAATGAATATCCTCATATGTGGATCTCAGAAACAAAAATCAGGTAAAAAAAAAAAAATCAGGTCATTCTTTGTTTTTATATTCATCAGGACCCAATCAGCCCAAATAGCAAAGAAAAATTGAAAATGCATGGCATGAAAGAGTTCTTATCTTAGGAGATTAATAAGGACTTTGATTGTTTATTCCAACAGAATCACTGCCATAATCCCCCCAAACACCTCCCCCCTCCCACACCACCTAAAAATAAATAAAATACCAGCAAAAAGAAAAGCAAACCCTTATAAAGAAGGAAAAATATTACTATTCCAACCAAACAGCAAAACTTTTAAATGTGGACTATTAAACATCAGGTAACTCTCTTCTATGTCTCTGTCAGTACATGAGTTGATCAAAATATTGATGTATTTTGCTTTACAGTAACCTGGTCACAGCACGATCTTGTACTGACATGTGGCATAGACACAGTTTTTTGCCTGAGAATCCTAATAACATTTCATTTTACAATAATGGACTACAGAGCACCAGAAAAACAATTTCAAAGGACTAGACGTCTTTCTGAAAATGTTCTGATGAGATTGTAAAAAGTGCTCCCTTCTTTTTTATCTTCTTCTTTGTTTTTACACCATTTTGTCTTTATTTATTCATTCATTCACTTGGTTATTATTAAACTCTGGCTTTTTTCCCACTGTGTGTTCTTTGTCCTGCCTCACTCAACTCACCCCAACCGGTCGTGGCAGGTAGCTGCTTCTCCCTGAGCCTGATTCTGCTGGAGGTTTCCTTTAAAAAGGAAATTTTCCTTCCCACTGTTGCCAAGTGTTAACTTATAGGGGCTTGTCTGATTGTTGGCTTTTCTCTGTATTATTGTGGGGTCTTTACCTTACAATATAAAGCAATTGAAAAGAATTCTTCAATGTAACGTGCCAACACAACGCAGAGCAGCATCCTAAACTTTACTCCCACAGAGGTTTATTATCTTGTTATTAGTGTCATACATCCTCACTGCCTGGATGTATGAAACAGGAACAACACTGGGTTTAGTTCCAGCACTGTAGCCAGGCTGACAAACAGTGCTCCTTTGACTTTAACTAGTAAGGACTTCATGAATTTCTTCATAAGTAAAATTTTAATCATTAGGGGAAAAAACTTCATAGCCCTCATAGCCGTCCCAAGGACAAATGATTACGTTCACTAATTTTAATAACTGTGGTGATTTATTTCTCTCTCCTATCAATCTTTCTGAAATAATAATAATGCCTTCCTTTAAATCATCATCATGTCTATTACACCCAATTCCTACAAGGCTGTTAAAATAAGACTCACCATTGATTCATTCTTACATTTCAAATACCAATCATTATATTTCTATTAACTAGCTACATACCACAGGTTTTTAAGGTATTTATAATTAAACCACGACTTAAAAACCCTTTACTTGATCCAGGTGTCTAAGCTAATTATAGGCCGATTTCTAATCTTCTTTTTTTTTGTCAGAAAAATCTTCAAAGAGCAGTTGTAAAATGGCTGGGTCATCATTTGCAGAGGAATGATCTATTCAAGAAGTTTGAGTCAGGATTTAGAGTTCACACTAAAACAGAAACAGCACTAATGATGATTATGAATGACATTCTGCCCTCTGACAGTGGACTCAGTTCTGTGTTTGTCCTGTTAGACCCCAGTGTTTACTACAGAGACTAGAATACACTGTTGGTATTAAGGAAAATGAGTATTTTGTCCACATCATCCTCTTCATGCATGTTGTCTTACTCCAAGCTGTATAGGCTCGAAAGCCTACTACCAATTAAGCATATTAGGTGATGTGCATCTCTGTAATGAGAAGGGGTGTGGTCTAATGACATCAACACCCTATATCAGGTGTGCATAATTATTAGGCAACGTCCTTTCCTTTGGCAAAATGGGTCAAAAGAAGGACTTGACAGGCTCAGAAAAGTCAAAAATAGTGAGATATCTTGCAGAGGGATGCAGCAGTCTCAAAATTGCAAAGCTTCTGAAGCGTGATCATCGAACAATCAAGCGTTTCATTCAAAATAGTCAACAGGGTCGCAAGAAGCGTGTGGAAAAACCAAGGCGCAAAATAACTGCCCATGAACTGAGAAAAGTCAAGCGTGCAGCTGCCAAGATGCCACTTGCCACCAGTTTGGCCATATTTCAGAGCTGCAACATCACTGGAGTGCCCAAAAGCACAAGGTGTGCAATACTCAGAGACATGGCCAAGGTAAGAAAGGCTGAAAGACGACCACCACTGAACAAGACACACAAGCTGAAACGTCAAGACTGGGCCAAGAAATATCTCAAGACTGGTTTTTCTAAGGTTTTATGGACTGATGAAATGAGAGTGAGTCTTGATGGGCCAGATGGATGGGCCCGTGGCTGGATTGGTAAAGGGCAGAGAGCTCCAGTCCGACTCAGACGCCAGCAAGGTGGAGGTGGAGTACTGGTTTGGGCTGGTATCATCAAAGATGAGCTTGTGGGGCCTTTTCGGGTTGAGGATGGAGTCAAGCTCAACTCCCAGTCCTACTGCCAGTTTCTGGAAGACACCTTCTTCAAGCAGTGGTACAGGAAGAAGTCTGCATCCTTCAAGAAAAACATGATTTTCATGCAGGACAATGCTCCATCACACGCGTCCAAGTACTCCACAGCGTGGCTGGCAAGAAAGGGTATAAAAGAAGAAAAACTAATGACATGGCCTCCTTGTTCACCTGATCTGAACCCCATTGAGAACCTGTGGTCCATCATCAAATGTGAGATTTACAAGGAGGGAAAACAGTACACCTCTCTGAACAGTGTCTGGGAGGCTGTGGTTGCTGCTGCACGCAATGTTGATGGTGAACAGATCAAAACACTGACAGAATCCATGGATGGCAGGCTTTTGAGTGTCCTTGCAAAGAAAGGTGGCTATATTGGTCGCTGATTTGTTTTTGTTTTGTTTTTGAATGTCAGAAATGTATATTTGTGAATGTGGAGATGTTATATTGGTTTCACTGGTAAAAATAAATAATTGAAATGGGTATATATTTGTTTTTTGTTAAGTTGCCTAATAATTATGCACAGTAATAGTCACCTGCACACACAGATATCCCCTAAAATAGCTAAAACTAAAAACAAACTAAAAACTACTTCCAAAAACATTCAGCTTTGATATTAATGAGTTTTTTGGGTTCATTGAGAACATGGTTGTTGTTCAATAATAAAATTATTCCTCAAAAATACAACTTGCCTAATAATTCTGCACTCCCTGTAGTGGTTTCTAAAAGCTCTCATTCTCAAAAAGTAGCGTTATCTGGAAGACGCAAATGGAAATACAGCAAAAATGTTGAACATCATTCATTTCACACAGAGGAATACATGTTAAGGATGAGAGGGAAAGAGCTAGCTTGTTTAAAAATGTGCTCTGAGGTAAGGATTAGACTCTCCTTCTGTCTTAAAATTCACAGAATTATGGGATATGCGGTCTTCTATGACCGAGACATATTTTGTATTTAAACAGAGCTAAGTAGTGCCCAATGGCCACCAACATTAAAGGAAAGCGTAAAGGCATATCCCAATAATAATGTCATCTTAATAGATATTTAATCATCTTCATTTTTGATGACTTTTGATCTCTTTAGCTGTTAGTTCTGGCATCTCAGGAACAGAAATAATAAAGTTTTCTAATATTTTTCTAATATTTGAATCAACATGCAAACGCACTTTACACTTCTCATCTGTTGCTCAGTTTCAAAGCTCACCTGTGACCTTTTAAACCCCCAAACCTATAAAACAAATCAGAACTACAACCAAATCAAAAAGTGGATCAAAGACTTCTTTGAGTCGTTAACCAGAATTGTGTTCAGGGGCCTCTCGAACACTTGACTAGAAAGTGAAGGAATTGCATGCTTCCTTCGTGTTGTCATCAGATTCTTAACCCAGATCTCTGCAGTGTTCTCATTATGCATGTGGACACTATTTAGTCCACAGCACTGACGCAAGACGTGGCCTGGTTATAAAACACGGCTTTTTAAAATCTTTATTTAACTTGGCTGCTGTAACTGAAATCAAGAGCTGCTGTTGGATAGCTGACCTGGCTGCAGACAGACGTGCACTGTGTAGATACCAACAATCTGAAAACTTCCTGAGTCAAACTTAGTCAAATCTTCACAAAACAAACCAGAAGAAGCTTTTTATTTACTTCGTAAGAGCCTCCACTAAGAACTGATACTCCACTGAGGCAGACAAGCTGTTTGAGCTTTAATCATTTTGCAATAAGCTTTCTTAAGGAGGAGTGGATCATATGATGAAGCTCCGTATTAGTGAAAGCTGTCGATTGTTGCGGAGAGCTGATAATAAACTGTTTCTTTTGGAAAATGCGATTAGACACTCAGTTATTCAGAGTGGAGACAGATTTTTGATAAGGCAGTAAAAAGTGAGCTTTGTTTCTTCTCTGATGAAACCGAAGCCATCAGGGCAAATGATGTAAAAATGGCCAAACATTCACTTTAGAGGTTCGCTATGCACACTCCTCGTCACCCTCCCTCTGCCCTCATCTTACAACATGCCCCAAAGCTCTTTATAAGACCCACATTAAATAACTGCGCAGCCTTGTTGTCGACATGTATGTACATGACTCCGACATGTTCCCTTAAAGCTGTACGTTTATGCTATAATACAGTACCTTTCTTATCCTTCCCCAGCAACACCACCTTTGGTTTGTACATTGGTGGCTCCACCAGGGTGGGCCTCATGTCAGAGATCCGGATGTCGTTCGGAGAGCCGCCCATTGAATCCTGAGGAAGAAGGGGGAAAAAAGCATCAGGCATATACAGTAGAGAAGAAAAGGCAGCTTCTGTGATTTAAAAAATGATTACGAATCTCATGTAGACAATTCGTTTTGCTTGACTGGCATCAAACATACATACATTTGTTAAATAAATACAAACTTTGGTAAGTATTTCAGCAGGTTCTGGAGTTCCTGATCCCCAGTAGGATCATGGAGCGTGCTTTTAACCCTCTGGGGTTTTGATTTCACTGATGCCTCAGATTCTCTTATGTAAGGCCACGTGGAGTCATTATTGTAAGAAACAACCAAGTTCAGTACAGTCTGCACTATTTGAATACAGTTCTGAAAAATAAGATATTATCACCTTGTTAGAGAAAGTAAAAACTGAACTGAAGCACTGATTACGATGTATATACACATATTCCGACAAAGTTTGATGGTTTAGCTCTAAATGCAAACACGACTTTTGTTTGTCTGCAAATCCTCACTAGGGTCCTCACAAAACCCTCACAACACTAAAGGTCAGAGCGTGAGTGAGAGTTAGAGTGACTTCAAAAGATATCATAACTTTCTTACATCTTGAACTTACAGACATATGAATGATGAAATCTGTGCAGTGTCACACAGCTAGCACTGAATTTTGGATGTGTTCAGTGGTATCTTCTGGATATAAAAGGTATAAAAAGTCCACAAACCAAGTAAAAATACCTAATTAATTTTCTTTACAGTTCTTTTTGGATTGTGTGTGTTTCTGTGAGAGAGTGAGAGACAAACCTCAGAGCTCTCTGTCAAGTCCTCTTTGTCCTTCCTCTTAGGAATATCGATGCCAGAGTTATGCATTGGTCCCTGATCCATTAGCTGAGTCTGAGAGAAGTCCTGCATCTCTCTGTCTGTCACCTGAAAAACAACTCCATTTTTTGAGTTGTGCACTGATTTGCTTCAAACGGACAAACACAAACATAAGAAAAGCTTTTGTTGTTCTCAGCTGTCTTCTGTTTTAGTGATCAGAGACTTGGATGAACTTACTTCAGGTAAGCTCTTGCCATGTGAGAGCCGTTATCAGATTATCACACACAAGCATGATGTCTGTGTCCTGCGACATTGTTGCTAATAAATACATTTGGGACTAAATGCTTGTTGACCTCCTGTATGTGTCTGTATGTGTAATCTGTACCTCTTTAGGAGGCAGGGGCCACGGTGGTTCATATGGCTCTTTGCTGAGGTGTGTATGTTCCATGTTGGTTCCTGCCGAGGTGGCGGTGCCTGTGCTCAGCTGGTGCTGGTGCCCGTGTCCGGCGTGTACGGCGTGACCGGCGTGTCCAGCATGTACGCTTTTGCCCACAAGACTTTGCACTGACTTAACCATGTTCTTCAGGTCCTCAGGGTAGGGTGTTGGATAGCGTTTTAGGTTTATCTCCACCTACATGACATTTAGGACTATATTTAATAAACAGGGCGTGAAGTAGCAAATTTAAATCTGCCAAGATCAGCATAAAGGCGTTGGTCACAAACAAGTAAACCTGATAAGGGAGCAAGAATAAGCACGACTTATTATCTGAAATCTTGCAAACATAATTCAGCATACAAGTGCACAGTTTTCTGCATGTGTTTCTGTCAGGAAACAGCATTGCAACTTAAATCAAGGAGAGGCAACTGGAGGACAATTGCTTCCACTACTGGGGGGAAATCTACAGTCTGACGAAGCAGCTGGTCTCTGAATGAATCCTAGTAGCATATAAACCTGAAATCTGTAACAGCTGACCTGTCACATGTATAAAAGAACACATAACATCATTTACCTGACCAATGTCTTGTTAAATGCATCATTTTTTATGTGCACTGTGTGATACTGCAGGGATTCATTTATGACATCTGCGTGGTGATAAAGTTTTAATTTTAGGGGTAAATTGAATTCTAAGGTGCAAAGTATGCGGATGACCAGAAGCAGTTTTTCTATATCCACATGTGGTGTATAATTATGGAACTGTGTCCAAACATAACAGAGATTATTTTCATAAGATTTAAAGGGGTGCTAATCCCAGAGTGTCTGACTCAATGTAAAGCATGAACTATATATGTGGAGTATATATTGTTTTATTTATGTATATTGTGTGTGTAGAGTTGTATATAAAATGTCTGATTATATTTTATATCGAGGAACGCTCATTGTAAATTAAATAGCATTGGGGGGATTATACAGTGGCTTGCAAAAGTATTCGGCCCCCTTGAACTTTTCCACATTTTGTCACATTACAGCCACAAACATGAATCAGTTTCATTGGAATTCCACATGAAAGACCAACACGAAGTGGAGTACACGTGAGAAGTGGAACGAAAATCATACATGATTCCAAACATTTTTTTACAAATAAATAACTGCAAAGTGGGGTGTGCGTAATTATTCAGCCCCCTTTGGTCTGAGTGCAGTCAGTTGCCCATAGACATTGCCTGATGAGTGCTAATGACTAAATAGCGTGCACCTGTGTGTAATCTAATCTCAGTACAAATACAGCTGCTCTGTGACGGCCTCAGAGGTTGTCTAAGAGAATATTGGGAGCAACAACACCTTGAAGTCCAAAGAACACAGCAGACAGGTCAAGGATAAAGTTATTGAGAAATTTAAAGCAGTCTTGGGCTACAAAAAGATTTCTCAAGCCTTGAACATCCCACGGAGCACTGTTCAAGCCATCATCCAGAAATGGAAGGAGTATGGCACAACTGTAAACCTACCAAGACAAGGCCGTCCACCTAAACTCACAGGCCGAACAAGGAGAGCACTGATCACAAATGCAGCCAAGAGGCCCATGGTGACTCTGGACGAGCTGCAGAGATCTACAGCTCAGGTGGGGGAATCTGTCCATAGGACAACTATTAGTCGTGCACTGCACAAAGTGGTAAATGGACTGATTCTTATATAGCGCTAAAGCGCTCTATACAACATGCCACATTCACTCAATCACACCCATTCTCACAAGCACTTTACCTATACGTAGTGCTATCTAACTACGTTCACACACATTCATACTCCGATGGATGCATCGGAGAGCAACTTGGGGTTAGTATCTTGCCCAAGGATACTTGACATGCAGACTGGAGGTGCCTGCTCTACCTCCTGAGCTACAGCCACCCAAAGTTGGCCTTTATGGAAGAGTGGCATGAAGAAAGCCATTGTTAACAGAAAACCAGAAGAAGTCCCGTTTGCAGTTTGCCACAAGCCATGTGGGGGACACAGCAAACATGTGGAAGAAAACTAACACTGCACATCACTCTGAACACACCATCCCCACTGTCAAATATGGTGGTGGCAGCATCATGCTCTGGGGGTGCTTCTCTTCAGCAGGGACAGGGAAGCTGGTCAGAGTTGATGGGAAGATGGATGGAGCCAAATACAGGGCAATCTTGGAAGAAAACCTCTTGGAGTCTGCAAAAGACTTGAGACTGGGGCGGAGGTTCACCTTCCAGCAGGACAACGACCCTAAACATAAAGCCAGGGCAACAATGGAATGGTTTAAAACAAAACATATCCATGTGTTAGAATGGCCCAGTCAAAGTCCAGATCTAAATCCAATCGAGAATCTGTGGCAAGATCTGAAAACTGCTGTTCACAAACGCTGTCCATCTAATCTGACTGAGCTGGAGCTGTTTTGCAAAGAAGAATGGGCAAGAATTTCAGTCTCTAGATGTGCAAAGCTGGTAGAGACATACCCTAAAAGACTGGCAGCTGTAATTGCAGCAAAAGGTGGTTCTACAAAGTATTGACTCAGGGGGCTGAATAATTACGCACACCCCACTTTGCAGTTATTTATTTGTAAAAAATGTTTGGAATCATGTATGATTTTCGTTCCACTTCTCACGTGTGCACCACTTTGTGTTGGTCTTTCATGTGGAATTCCAATGAAACTGATTCATGTTTGTGGCTGTAATGTGACAAAATGTGGAAAAGTTCAAGGGGGCCAAATACTTTTGCAAGCCACTGTAAGTACTTTCTTTTCTGTTTTCCATGTTTATAGTTGTTACTTTAATATTAATATTTGTATATTCAAAATAAATCAGTCACTCAATCAGTCAACTAATGCTTTACTTGTAAAATGTCATATTAATCTTAATATTGGAGGTGCTCCAATAGCAAAAACAAAGATAAACAGACACCCTACTCATCTCATACGACCCCCCCCCCCCCCCCCCCCGCTCCCACCCCAAAACAGATATAGCGACCTGACCTTCCCAGAGTGTCTTCCCTTTCTATTCTTTCCTCAAAATCGTAGGCCACAGTCATTCCCTCTTTGGTCTCTGCTCCTCCCACAGCGTAGGATTAAAGCTGTCGCTGTCCGACTGATAATCTGCACACACACCATAAATTAACAGCCGAGGGTTTAAAATTATAGTCAGGTAATCTTACTTACACACACACACACACACACAGACACACACACACACACACACACACACACACACACACACCCACACACACAAACACACACAAACAGACTACCCTCACTCTTTCCCGCCTGCGCGACGAGTGGGTCAAACCTTCTGTTTGGTTTCTGGGTGGGCTTCTGTCTGTAGTGGGATCAGAGCCTTGGTCTGCAAACACACACACACACACACACACACACACACACACACACACACACACACACACACACACACACACACACACACACACTATTGTTGTAGGAACTTTTACTGATGACATCTATTCCATTATGTCTAATTTTAACCTGCACCTACCCCTTTTCCTAAAAACAAAGATTTCTGCCTGCTGCTCATTTAAATCGCTCACACAATCAGCTGCAGCAGAGCTCGACTTCAAACGAAACCTGCCGAGTGCTAATGCAAATCACTTGGGAAGGATTTGCGAATCAATTTTCCCAACAGGGAAAATAAATGTTTCATTGCATTCAGATTACAAATATCACAACACATCCTAATTAAAACTGCATCAACACATTATAGTTTACATTTTCTATTTTCGGATACAATGCTAGTAAACTTTTCTGTCTTCCTCGCAAACTTTAATGCGGACCGAATTCCCATGACGTCAGAGTCGCCACTTGTAATGCATCAAACAGCATGAGCGAATATGAGTTTCATTACTGAGGCAGAATATGCCGACATAAGTGGTGATATTAAATGTAAATGTGTGAACGCTCTGCCATTAAACAAATTGCATTTGAATTTTAAATTTGCTTTCCTCTTCAGCAGGTAAATAACGCTCCGAGCTTCTTGGGACTCATGATTTCGTTTAATGGCTTTGATTGAACTTAAAAATAAAAATGCAAATGTCTCAAAGAGCTGAAGAACAGTTTGGCTGCTTTTTCTGAATGACAGCTAAAACTGCATCATCTCTGTGGACTCTCTGTGCTGTATATAGCGCATTCATCGCAGAGAGAATCAAATTCAGAGGGCCCATAAAATGATTCATTGCTATGTAGCATCTGTCTTATCACTGAGAAGGTTAACATGCAGCAAACTCTCACTGAAAGCACAAAATCAAGTAATTATCAGTTCATTGTAGTGTCTTTAAAAAACAAAACAAAGGAGAGAATAGTGAGAAAATGAACAGGAGCTGACATAAAATATTTAGCATGTGTATTTTTCATCATTATCACCCTGTTGTGAATAAATCTCCCTATTTTATTGATTTATCTTTGCCACACCGTTTTGATAAAAAGCCATTAGAAATGAAACGCGACACTAATTGATAATTAACAATAAAAACCTTCCAGTGACAGGCAAGTAAAAAGGACCTGTTAGTGACTCATCTCCATATTTATACTCTCGAGCTCTGCCAGAGTTACTTTGCATCATCAAAGTGAAGAGTAATCCTTATTTGAACCTCGGGGCAGGCCCTTTCAGCTCCTTTGCCCATTCTTTTTAAAACAACTCTCTTTACTGACTGGTTAAACTGAGCAGCAGCCGTGAACAGCAGGTGAGATGAGCCTCTGTGCTCTGAGATGACCATGTTGGGGACATGTACTGTCTGACATTACACAGAGCCACGAGTAGAAGAGGTGGCTCATGGGCGGTACTTGAACATATGTTGACCTTATGTTAAATATGAGAACTCAGATATGTGATAGAAACTAAGGAAAGGATAAAGAGGTTGAAAGTCTATCAGAGAAACACAATTTTATAAAACATGCCATATCATAGTTGTGGTAATTTAATTACAATGTCGATTTCGTTGTGTGTTTGTGCTGCACATTTGTTAGCACACATTTGTTAGCTACGTGCTCTCTTGGAGAGCGTGGGCAGAGAGAAAGAGATACCTGATTGTCAGAGAGCCACAGAGCTGCCAGGTCCTTCAGCTTAGTGAAGGTAAACGGTAGATTCTTTAACCTAATCGAGAGAGACACACAGAGAGGGGCGGAGAGAGGGAAGGTGAGAAAGAAAAAAAACAGAGATGTTTCATCACCCACGCACTGTACAGCCCGCAGAGCATATAACCATAGCAACACACTCAGCCATTCCCATGGAAACAGTAGACCGAACCGAAACGACCATTGAAAAAGTTTGCGCTCGTGTGTGCATTGTATCTATTCACTACTGAGTCATAAAGGAGCTTGGTATCTGCGTGTGTGTATGCGTGTGTGCGTGGGTGTACCTGTTGTCGCTGAGGTTAAGGACTCGCAGTTTGGTCATCTGTCCGATCTCATCAGGAAGAAACTCCAGTTTATTGGACCGCAGTGACATGACGGTCACGTTCTTGCAGTTACCGATCTGAAACACACAGAGACACAGAGAGTCAGATTACATTAGATATACATCGCATAGTGAGCAAGATCCACAGCATCACAATTAACCTATATTACACTGGACATCTTCAGACTGATGAGTGTTAAATTACAGATAGTATAAGACTTTTGTGCATCTTTGTAAGGTGCGTTTGATAATGTTCAACACCTTACGTTTACAAAATGTAATAATGTTGTTTTTAAAGTGACCATAATTTTTGTTTTCCATTCAAACATGTAATATATTTAATGCATCCAGATTTATCATCTTCTCTTTCAATAATGGGCTTCAGCCAACCTAAGCTAGTAATACCTAGCATCATAATAACTTCGAAAAAGAACATCTGCAACATGGCTGACATCTGTCATCACACTTTGAACCAGATAAAACAAACAAAAAAACACTTTCCAAAAGGTTGACTGCTAAAATAATGATTAAGAAAAACAGAATGAAATTAGGTACAAATCATTACTAAATCATAACAAAAATTGGGACAAGGACAAGAATTTAATGCTCATTTTCAACTAAATGGGAGAAAAACATTGATAAAAAGTTGGGACATGGGAACAAAAGCATGGAAAAGTGTCACTCCTGGAGTGGATCCAAATACAGGGAGTGCAGAATTATTAGGCAAGTTGTATTTTTGAGGAATAATGTTATTATTGAACAACAACCATGTTCTCAATGAACCCAAAAAACTCATTAATATCAAAGCTGAATGTTTTTGGAAGTAGTTTTTAGTTTGTTTTTAGTTTTAGCTATTTTAGGGGGATATCTGTGTGTGCAGGTGACTATTACTGTGCATAATTATTAGGCAACTTAACAAAAAACAAATATATACCCATTTCAATTATTTATTTTTACCAGTGACACCAATATAACATCTCCACATTCACAAATATACATTTCTGACATTCAAAAACAAAACAAAAACAAATCAGCGACCAATATAGCCACCTTTCTTTGCAAGGACACTCAAAAGCCTGCCATCCATGGATTCTGTCAGTGTTTTGATCTGTTCACCATCAACATTGCGTGCAGCAGCAACCACAGCCTCCCAGACACTGTTCAGAGAGGTGTACTGTTTTCCCTCCTTGTAAATCTCACATTTGATGATGGACCACAGGTTCTCAATGGGGTTCAGATCAGGTGAACAAGGTGGCCATGTCATTAGTTTTTCTTCTTTTATACCCTTTCTTGCCAGCCACGCTGTGGAGTACTTGGACGCGTGTGATGGAGCATTGTCCTGCATGAAAATCATGTTTTTCTTGAAGGATGCAGACTTCTTCCTGTACCACTGCTTGAAGAAGGTGTCTTCCAGAAACTGGCAGTAGGACTGGGAGTTGAGCTTGACTCCATCCTCAACCCGAAAAGGCCCCACAAGCTCATCTTTGATGATACCAGCCCAAACCAGTACTCCACCTCCACCTTGCTGGCGTCTGAGTCGGACTGGAGCTCTCTGCCCTTTACCAATCCAGCCACGGGCCCATCCATCTGGCCCATCAAGACTCACTCTCATTTCATCAGTCCATAAAACCTTAGAAAAACCAGTCTTGAGATATTTCTTGGCCCAGTCTTGACGTTTCAGCTTGTGTGTCTTGTTCAGTGGTGGTCGTCTTTCAGCCTTTCTTACCTTGGCCATGTCTCTGAGTATTGCACACCTTGTGCTTTTGGGCACTCCAGTGATGTTGCAGCTCTGAAATATGGCCAAACTGGTGGCAAGTGGCATCTTGGCAGCTGCACGCTTGACTTTTCTCAGTTCATGGGCAGTTATTTTGCGCCTTGGTTTTTCCACACGCTTCTTGCGACCCTGTTGACTATTTTGAATGAAACGCTTGATTGTTCGATGATCACGCTTCAGAAGCTTTGCAATTTTGAGACTGCTGCATCCCTCTGCAAGATATCTCACTATTTTTGACTTTTCTGAGCCTGTCAAGTCCTTCTTTTGACCCATTTTGCCAAAGGAAAGGACGTTGCCTAATAATTATGCACACCTGATATAGGGTGTTGATGTCATTAGACCACACCCCTTCTCATTACAGAGATGCACATCACCTAATATGCTTAATTGGTAGTAGGCTTTCGAGCCTATACAGCTTGGAGTAAGACAACATGCATGAAGAGGATGATGTGGACAAAATACTCATTTGCCTAATAATTCTGCACTCCCTGTACAGTACAGTGAAGGCTAAGTAGTTTAACAAGACGTTTTAATAACTGACCACAAAAAGGAACAGCAATGATCTAAAAACCCCAAATGCAAGTGAAATCAATCAACAACAGGTGAAGACAATTACAGCAAAGCTGGCAATCTCAAAGGAAGGAAAAACAAATGGAAACTAGAATAAGAACAACAAAAAACAAACCTTCAAAGTAAAACAGGAAGTAACCAAAAGACAAAAGGCACTAACAGGAAGTTGAAACACAAGAAGGAAGAGACAGGAAACACTGAGGGAACTGAAACTACTATTATTAATTATGATCAAGACATGAACCAAAACACAAGGACACAAAAACCCAGGACCATGACAAAAAGTTCTTCAATGTAAAGAAACACCAAGAGGAACGTCATTAGTGGGAGCTAATTAGGTTAATTAGGAAGATGGTTAGGAGGAAAATGAGTGGCCCAGATTGGCTTTAAGAATTATGGACAGGGAGGGGTTCAACAGCTTCATAATAACATCTTGCAAAGTAAAATTACAAAGAATTTGAGGAGATGATCATCTAACGCACATAATCTCATTAAAAGATTAAGAGAAACCAGAAAATATCACTGGGTAAAAATTGCTTCACAGGCTTACAGAGACTTCAGTAAGTCACTGCCAGCGGACACAGTTTGTTGCTGAGAAGTCTGCCATGTTAAGAAAGTAACCGTGTGCACTCGTGCACATAATACATGATGTATCAAAAAGATTCATCTGATTTCAAAAGGCTTTTTTTTTCAAGTAATGGACATAGAAGTGCAAAGATTTCAAGATGTGTCTTCATCTCCATACCTCGCGGGGCAGCTCTGAGAGGAAGTTCTCATCGGCAGCGAAGGTTCTCAGGCTGTGCAGGTAGCCGATGGTGGGAGGCAGCGACTCCAACTCATTACAACTACAGTCCAACTCCTCCAGTAGAGACAGACTGAGTGGAAGGAACAAAGGCAGGAAGGAAGAGGCAGAGAGAGCATGACAGAGATAGAAAGGAAATCATTCTGCAGGCAACACAATCTCTTCTGTAACATTAAATTACTCAGACATGAAAGAATAAGAATTGCAGTATTCGTTATTCCTACAGCTGTCAACACATCATGTGATAAGACTGAAACAAGGAATGAATGGATGGGGGGTGGGGAGTACTGTATATGTATCCAAAGCCTGATATATATTTTTTGTTTGAGCAATAGAGTACTATTGTTGTCCAACACACACATCATTAAATGAGCCTCATCATTTAACTTGGTGACACGTCAGCCTCACACACTATCACGATAAATTAAAAGTGTATTCAAATAGTGTGTTACCTCACTTAAATGAACATTTGTACAGAAGGTATATCTCTGAGGCATTTACACACAAAATGTTTTCAAAGTTTTTTGCTTAGGTTTGTGCTGGAGTAAGCTCCACAGACATGTTTACCTAGTTTCAGACTTTTCATGGGATTTGTTGACAGCAACAAACACGACGACTGTCAGCTGCCACATCTTTAAACGTGTTATGATGAAAAGGAAAATTTGCACCAGTTAATAAGTGGCGAGTGTTGAGAGAGAGGGAAAAGATCAACACATTGAAGAATCCATCAATCAATAAATGACTTAATATGAATTTGGCCTCATTTGATGGCCACCCATCTCATCCCCTTTGGGTATCTTAAAATTCTTCAACCTGGATCTCAATTTCTCCACTCCACTCAGTTATACAGCAAGATCCACAGCAGGCCCACTACAGGACACCATGACCGCCCCCTTTGACTGCCATCATTGTCCTAGCATCACGCTAACAGCAGGCTAATGCTAATGAGACAACAATTTTACATTAATGTACTGTCACTGTTAACATTGCATTAGTCTGCTATTATTATTCCCGATAGACCGGACCATCTGGGCCACCATACGGTCTGACAGGAAGGAAAAGGATAGGAGAGGAAACAAGAGGAGAAAAGAGGAAAGGACTTTCACACCCCACATTTAACTTCAAGTTTCTTTCATTTAGCGTTGCTTGTGTTCCCAATCACAAGATTATAATCCTCCTTTTCCAAGGACAAAAAGGAAAAAAAACTCAGTTCCCTCTGGTTTAAATACTCAAGATGCACATTCATAGAAGCATTTGTCATGAGCAAACACGTTAAGATACGTAGTAAAAATATAAAAGGATACACTCACCAATCACTTTATTGCGTATACCTGTTCAACTGCTTGTTAACGCAAATATTGCAGTTACTATGCAAATATAATCAGTGCATTTTGGCATATAGACATAGTCAAAACGCACTGCTGCCCAAACCGAGCATCAGAATGGGGAAGAGAGGTGATTTATGGAATTTGAAAATGGCGTGGTTATTGGTGCAGGACAGAAACTTTAGAAACTGCTGATCTACAGGGGTTTTCCCAAGCAACCATCACTAGGGTTGACAAAAATCATCCAAATTCAAGGAAATATACAGCAAGTGGCAGTTCTCTTGGTGAAAATGCCTTATTGATGTCGGTGGTCAGAGGAGAATGGCTGGGCTACTCCGAGCTGATAGGAAGGAGTCAAATAACCACTCAGTACAACCAAGGTATGAAGGGCAGATGGGCTATAGAAGCAGAAGACAACACTGAGTTCCCCTTCTGTCCACAATTTACACGAGCTCACCAAAGTTGAAGACTGGAAAAACATTGCCTGGTCTGGGGAACATTTTAATGATAATGTCAGAATAAAATTCCACTTTGTTTTGTATCAACAGTTCAGTGCTGTAGGTGTAATGATTTTTAGGATATATTCTTGACACACTTTGGTAAACATGAAGCTGTCTGTTACTAATCTCTGAGGAATGTTTCCAGCAACTTGTTGAATCTTTACCAAATGTGAAGGCAGTCAAAAGGGGACTCAACTAGCAAGGTGTACCTAATAAAGTGACCAGTGAGTGTACACTGCCATGATGGCACCTTTCTTATGTCTAATGTAGCAGAGGCTTTAAACATTTTAAGACTTTAATAAGCAAAACAATAACAGTAGTAGTACCAGCAGCAGTATTCATTCTATTTATTTATGTTCTATGTGGATTCGACACATATCCAGTAAAGTCTATATGCAGTATTTATTCTACATGGAAACTGAAACATTGAGAAGGGATCACATTCATCATTAGTAAGAAACACTTTAAAAACTAAAGGTAAGAAAAGGACCTTTTAAGGGGAATTAATGGATCTACAGCACTACTTATTGAAGCTAAAACCTGGGACCTGTCCAGGAAGACAAAATGTTTCCAGTGCGCTCAGATACAAATCTTGCAAAAGTGTAATGATAATGTTAAACATGGCATCTGCACATGTTTATGCATAAAGCCACATGGAAAAAAGTATCGATTTAACGTGTAAAAACAAACAAACAAACCAAAAAACCCAACAGAATCAAATTATTCCCATCCAAACTGATGTAGTTTAATATCACTCGAATTTTGGGCCATTTTGGACTGCATTCGTCAACAATTTACCAGCTCATAACTTCTAACTAATCTCTAAATATAGAGAGAGAGATGAAAGAAAAGCACTTTAAGTGGAATTTAAAAAAAAAAGAAAACAAAAATCTTCTGCCTAATTTAATAAATGCTCATATTTTCCCAAAACAAATAATGGAATTACTGCCACCAAATCTGGACTGTGATGGATAATAATGAGAATGTAATCACATTACTGTAATCATTTTTACATGCAATCATTTCCATCTGAACGCTGCAGATTTTTACTGGTATGCTACTTTTTCAGTGAGAGTCTTACTCAAACGTTACGTCCAAATGTCCCAACAAGAAGAAAATGCAAAGTCGTGTTTATGTTTGCATGTAATTCATGTATTAATGTGAAGATGTTTCCCACATGGACAGCATGTGGCAGCAAGCAGGAATTCTTGTATCTGTAACACAGCTGAACATTTGTCTGTCTCTGAACACACCCCCGGATCCAGGAGGCTAATGTTACTCACCCTTGCTTGGGCTTCGGACTAACGCCGCGGCAATGCAGCAAATACAACACACAGAACCCCCCCCCAGTCATCAGCCAGCATAACAACACAGCAGCTAACAGCAATAAACAAGGAAAACAACAACCCACCAACGATACATGTCACCTTTCGAGATCATCTAAAATGACAGCAGGTTCTGCTGAAGGAGCTTTTAAAGTTTTTTGAAGAAAAAAAAGTATACACTATAAAAGTATAGATGTGTATTTGGATTTGATGGAGTGTGTGTGCATTTTTCTTACCTCCCAATGGTGTTAGGCAGTGAGGTTAGCTGGTTGTCATCTACCTTTAGTGTTGTCAGCTTCTTTAACATTCCTGCAAACACACACACATGCAAAATTACTCTGTTCCTAGAGCAGGGGCCTCAAACCTGTGGCTCAGGTGCTGCAGTACATTCATCTCCACTTGCTCCCTGTGGCTGTTAGAAAAAGAAGATGAATATGGAAATAAACAGCAGTTTAAAAGAACGTATGAGTGTCTCTGGACTGTGGGAGGATTTCAGAGTATCTGCAGAGAACCAAGACACAACCATGACATACAAACTCCACACAGAAACACCTCAACCGTTGGTGTAAAGTGACTCTTTACACCAGGGGTAGGCAACTCCAGGCCTCGAGTGCCGGTGTCCAAATGTCAAATGATTAGTTCATTACCAGGCCTCTGGAGAACTTCGAGACATGTTGAGGAGGTCATTTAGCAATTTGAATCAGCTGTGTTGGATCAAGGACACATCTAAAACCTGCAGGACACTGGCACTCGAGGCCTGGAGTTGCCACCCCTGCTTTACATTATCTACAGACTGTGAAAAGCTGACCAAGAATCCTGGCTACACATGAAAAACAGCCAAGCAATGCCACAATCAAAAACAACTGGGGTTTAATGTTTCCAGCGTTTCTTATCGTAACTGCAAATATCTCTGAAAACAATGACCAATTTACTGAACAGTTTCTGATGCTTAGGTTGCAGGTAAACAAGGCACTATTTAGCTCCAAATTCTCTTTCAGCAAACCTCTTGGCAATGAATGGAAAAACACCCCAGTCAGCACAGTCACACACACCTAGGAATTCAAACTACAGCACAGTGATAATGTGTGGCATTTATCGGTAGTGTCAATATACTTGCAATATTGTGTTAATATAGGGATGGCAATGTCAATATTTTATTAAATAAAATAAAAAATACTCTGGGAATATTATGAACAAGAGGGCATGCACCACCATCATGAGATTTTCCAGATTTCCCTAAATCAGCTCTACCAAACTGAAATCAGCTGATTGTAGCTCAAACGCACAGGAAGACAAAACATGTTTGTTTGAGGCTTTTTTTCTTTCTATCCGCCTGAAGCTTAGATAAGTGAAGAACCTTTGTCACGACAGTAACAATATAATTATAATTGTATTGTAATTACTGAATGTAATAAACTACAGCAATACTGAAAAATGTAATGTGATTAACACGTTACCCCCAACAGTGGCCTTACGGTAGGGTTTGGGAGGTTTTCGTGTCGGTATGCTTGACAATCTCATTTTATGGCAAAAAAATAACTAAAGTGAGATAACTTTAGTCTTGTTGACAAAGTTTAACTCTGATGACAGTTGAAACAATATGATAAATTGAGGTATGGTTTTGCAATACTTGGCATATTGTACAATGTTACTATAGTATCAAAGTATTGATATAATATATTATGGGGTGCCTAGTGATTCCCACCTCTAACAGCCAGCTACCCTCAGTGCTGCTGGTGACTTTTCTGCCTTTTGCCTGTGGCAATAACGCTGTGTGGATAATCATCGCTGAATAAAAATATGCTAAAATATCCAATATTTTATTTAAATATGTGCTGCTGCCCTACTGGTATATACTTAAAATGAAGCTAACAAATTTCCATTTGCTTTCATTACTTTTAAAGTCATTAGGCTACTCAGAGTCTTTGTTTATGTTTGGAAAATGACAGAATTTAGGCTAGCTGTTTCTCTCTGTTTTCAGCATTTATGCTACTTAGCTAACAATGTTAGCTTTACTTGTCAAATCTTAAATTGGCCTCCACAAAAGCACAACAGAATGACCAGTTTGGTAAAAGTATAAAGTAGGTAACATTTTCTGAATGACTCATAGTGTTTTTGTGTGCGTTTGCGTGTCCATATGTGTATACCTATAGAGTCAGGAAGGTGCTGCAGCATGTTGGAGGATAGCAGCAGGTCTTCCAAAGCCTCGCAGCCCGAAATGTCCGCGTCCAATGTCTCGATACGATTCTTAGCCAAGTCCAAGTACCGCAACTGACGAAGCTTCCCTATTGACTATTGTGCGGGGAGAAAAGAACAGAGTAAAGACGAATAAGCAGAAATCGGAAAAAAGCATAGACATGTTCAACTGTATATGCTCACATGAAGCTTTTTGTCCCAACTTCTGCTCACCCCTGGTATAGTCTGCAGAGAGTTATTATCAAGCCATAGCTCCTTCAGATTGTGGATCTGTTCCAACACCTCCGGCTGACATGCGAAAAGAAAAACCGACATTTTCACTGAACACACGCTATAAATTATACATTTAGACTTCGCATTTATATTGAGACTACTAATTATGTACAGGTGCAGCCTTTCTTTTCTGCAGTTCATTTACAGATAACACTTTCGGTTGTGTTACTTTATTGTTTAGTAGCTTAAACATACTGCATGCACAGCACTGTATAGTTCAACCTTTTATGTTTCTGCTTCTCTTAATTTTCCATGTCCACATTTGCTAATTTCATTTCTAAAACATGCGTTAGCTGGTCTCACCACTTCAGAAAATTCATTGCTACCCAGATCCAGCCTCTCGAGCTGTGTCAGTCTGTGGATGGACCTGAGAGGAAAGAATCCACTGATTAGTACAGGTTTGCCATTTTGTACATAAATTTAAAATTGTACGCACCGAAGACCTCACAGCACACATTTAAAATTTTAAATACTTCATCTGAATTTGGACACAGTGAATTCTTACGCTGTGACTTCTGACAAACTTACTCAGTTTGTTAGAAGTTTTGAGCCCATGCAAACCCCTGTACTACGGTGACTTTAGCATGTAGCATATGTATACAGCAGAATTTACTGTTTAGCACAGGCAGAGAACATTTGGCAAGTTTTTCATAGGCACAACCCACATATTGAACTATGCTCTTTAACCCACAGATGCATTTTCCTTACAAATGTGGATCCTTTAAAGGGGAAACTAGCAGGCTTTCCAGTCATATAAGATATATTTCCAAGACGCATTTTTACAACAAAGACATAATCAACTGAACACAAATTTCATTAGCTTTTGTGATTAAGTTTAGCAATTGCATTGGTAGAGTAACTGGCATTAATATTACCACTTTTCACAAGACACTGTTACTGAAATCACTGTTAATCTGCAAGTGCTGTACAAGGTTATTGAGTCTAGAAGCAGTTTGTAGTGGAGCTGTCCTCTGTGGTGATGGTGAGGATAAAGTCAGCTACATAACATTAAACCGCAAACATTTAAAACAGTTATGAGTGACACACTGATGTTATATCAGGCTTCGTCAGTATTTGAAAACAGCTGCAGAGATAAATACAGTTTTTATCCGGGGATCTGGAAATGCAATCGCACACTCAGGAACACATGAGACTAAATGTTTCTCTCGCTCTCTCGCTCTCTCTCTCTCACACACACACACACACACACACACACACACACACACACACACACACACACATATGGCAGTTTGCCTCACTTTGGCATTGTTTTCAGGTGGTTCTCCCTCAGCTCCAGGATCCGTAGTTTGGAGAGTCTGAAAAGCCAGAAGGCACATGAAACTTAATTCAATGCAATAACAATCTATCGACTGCAACAGCTAATGCTTGGGAAGTTACATCAGGTCAAATAAGAGAAACAAGCCCCGTTTAATTTGGTACAAAACAGTGCCAAACCCATTTTGACACTGAAAGCATTACATATGATCAACACCCACTGGTATTCATCCATTCAGAGAATACCTGCAACATATAGATTTTCATATGCTCTAGCAAACAGTAGCACACTATGACCTGCATAAAATGCTAAAATGTATAGTGATGAGGTAAAGATGGATAACTGGTTAACTGGAAAAAAATTCATTAGCAAACTGTGAAGGCTAATGAACCTGTATGTGCACAAAAATAGAGACTCTGTTCACCAAAGTACTTAATCACAAGCTATCAGAAACAGTCAGTTTACCTCCCAAAGTTAGCAGGCAGATACTCCAGGAAGGCATCGTTTAAAAAGAGCTGGGTCAGATTCAGGAGCTGCGTAAAACCATCTGGGAGTCTGGGAAAGAAAGACAGAAAGAAATTGTGCAAAACAAGAAAGATGAAAAAGGTGTGCGTCCTTGAACGGCCTCAGTGGAACAAGACACGGACAAAGTTCCCAAAACAACCCCTGCAGAAACAGCTAACTGCTGTTAGCCTGCGGATGACTCATCTGCTGCGTGCACACGCTCCCTCACACACACACAGTGACACACACACACACACACACACAAAGCATGGGAAACCTGCAGGATACTGTGTGGTTGACTCTAGTTTTGCTTCGTGGCATCAACACACCGATAAGAAAACAGCAATTACAAGTGTAACACCTGATGCTCAAAGTATAATGATAAACAACACCAGCGCTCTACTGAAATACTTACATCTTCTGCTGCAGGCCAATACTGATTCTACGGGATATGAATACAAGAGCATGGCTGTACAGGGTTTATGGATGCAGCCAATTATTATAAAATATTCAGCCTCTCTGGTGCTACATAAATATGAATATGTAAAAGCAGGGTGACCTGTAAAAGTGTGAAACGCTGCAATCAAACAAACTTGAACCACGCTTTCCTTTCTTCAACTGAAATTTGCTTCCTAAATATAACCAAGCCAAAGTGAACGTCTTAGAGATGTTTGTTCTTATGATGATGCAGTCAGCGTTTTCACCGTGGTTGTTATCCAGAGACTGCGTGCTTGGAGTAATTAGATGGACAATGTTCAATTTTTCAACCTAGCTTGTAAACATTAAGGTTGACAGCCATCAAACCAGAGACTGAAGTAATGTGTAACAGGTTCAGCTGTGCAGTAATGTGCAGAGTGTACAGTTTGTGTCTTACTTGGTGATGGGGTTGACACTGGCTTCCACCACAGACAAGCCTTTACAGCATTTTATATTGTCTGGAAACTCCTGGATTCCTGTTTGACAGGAAGAGAGTCATACATGATGTTTAGTTTCACAAAAGTCTGGACCACCTGGTTTTGTTTCTTCTTCTTCGTTGTGAAGTTTCGGTATTGCAATTATGAGGTTTCGTCCTGTTATTTTAAACCAGGGTTGTTTAGGCTGGATACCGTTTTTACTGATGTCTAGCTCTTTCAGGTTCACCAGGCTGGCGATGGTGGTGGGCAGGTTGGACAGGTCGTTATCTGGCATGCTCAGCTTCTTCAAGGCCTGGCAGTTGAAGAGTTGCTGTGGGAACACAAAGAGGGACGATAAAGGAATTATGATCTTGGCAGGGTGTAGAACGTCACCTGGAGGCATGAGGCACTTAATGTTTTTCAAAAAGCTAGGCCACTTTAGCAGCACTTGTCTATTAATAATGCAAATGTAATGTCTTCCCACAGGACAAAACACATTATAGATTGAAAGGAAAAGACATCTAGACAAATGTGCTCCTAAACAGAAAAATTATGCTAATAAGAAAATATATACAAAAATGAAAGAATTTGGGGGTATGTAAATGCGATAAATGCTCTAGGAATTCAGAAATACCCATGTAAAAAATATAACAAAGCAAATGGTCAAAACTAAAAGGTGATTCTTGTATACCAGATTCTAAATGAGCAGCAACACAATGGTTAAGAAAAAACGTAACTAGATAGTAAAACAGCTTCACTCAATCTTCACTCCCTGCATTTTAACAAAACTTTCAATCACTCTTGCTGCCTGCTAGAATCAATAACGGCTGCATTTAACATCCAGAGATAAGGCCAGAGTTTTAGGCCAAATAGTGAAGTATATGGGCTCAGCAAGCGTATTACTCTCAATGACCAAGCTAAGCTAACCTTGACAGTTTTTCTACAGACTCACTATGGTATGAAGCCAAAAGGTGTTTCTCTTCATAAATGTATCTGATTATTATATAGCAACAATAAGGCAGCTGATAATAAGCCAGTAGAGCAATAATATTTCAAGTTTTAGCTAATATCAATTTAAAAAATAAACATTGTGCTAGCTACAGTAGCTGGGTTATAATCCTCTTGCTTGCCAATATGGCTATTTTTATATGAATGTCATCAAAGTGGGAATATTTTCATTGCTTAAATATAACAATAATAAAGCAACTGCAATATTAGCGGTTTTGGTTGCTAAGTAAAAGCTATTATATCCTCCCGAGACCTAAGGAAACAAATATCTTTCAATGTCCTGCCTATTTGGAGCTAAAAGAGGCCACCTGAACACATGAGATATCATTGGAAAGGCCACAATGTCATCTTCCGAGTGCAACATGACTTATTAGGGTAACTCAAATACATCAAAAGATATAGACCAAAAACAAATGTCTATTAAAGAAAACATAAAAGAATAGGCTGGTTTTCAGGAAGATATGCTAACAGCTATTGTCAAGATAAAATGACAAATTTGCATACCCTGAATTAATGTAGTCTCATATACAATACAGTCTCTCTAAACTTCTTCCCAAACTTATAGAAGAATTGAACATTTAATGTTCTTAGTGTATTACTCGCACTTTTAGTTTTATGCAACATGACCCTCATGAATATACAGTAATTAGCCACACCAAAAAAAAACCAATAGCATACAAAGTGGATTAAACTAATAATCTTATTATTTTGCAATGGCTTTTTGGAAACTTGGGTCCCTGGTCCCAAAAGGTTGATTCTGTTCATCTGGACAAAGCGTTTTCAATGCAAGAAATGTTTCGGCACTCATCCATGTGACTTTTTCACTCTAAGCTGATTGCAGGTTTCCCCAGTCTTATAAACAGTACATTGCACAATAACTGTGAGGTCAGATCATTAATATGTAATGTAACGTAATGTAATGTAATGTGTATGTGTTAGTCCCCATAGGGAAATAGTTCCTCTGCATTTAACCCATTCACCCAGTGAAGCAGTGGGCAGCCACCAATGCAGCGCCCGGGGAGCAGTGTGTAGGGACGGTACCTTGCTCAGGGGTACCTCAGGGTAGCAGTTCAGTGGAGTTGAACCCCCGACCTTCCGATCATGGGGCCACCACTCTACCTACTGAGCTATCCCTGCCCTTGCAGGGATGCAAATTCTCATGACCATTGATGGACAACCACTGATCAAAGACTATTGATCATTGATCAGTACTCATGGCCATTGATCAGTGAGATCAATGGCCATGAGTACCATTCACAGAAAGTTGAGGAATGGCTGCAATCACAGCATGTAAGATGGCAAAAATGTACCCTCAGGCCCCCTCCTCGATTCAGAGATGGTCTTTCCCTTTTCACGTAAATGGCCTCCTTGATGCCCCGTTCAAACCAGTGTTCCTCCCTGTCCAGGATGTGTGCATCCTCATCATTGAAAGAGTGTCCACTGGCCTGTAGGTGTAAATAGACTGCAGAGTCCTGACCTGACGAGTTTGGTCTTCTGTGTTGTGCCATCCGCTTTGCCAGAGGTTGTTTGGTTTCCCTGATGTATAAATCCTGGCAGTCCTCCTGGCACTTAACAGCGTACATTATGTTACTCTGTTTGTGTCAGGGGACCCGATCCTTGGGGTGGACCAATTTTTGGTTCAGCGTTTTTTGGGGTGTAAAAGCCACAGAGACACGGTGTTTAGAAAAAATGCGTCTCAACTGCTCCGATACTCCTGACACGTATGGGTCACTAAGGGTTTTCGCCTAGGCAGCAGTTGTCCTTCTCTTCTGGATCAGCTGAAACTTTCTATAGGTGCCTTCCCAGCTTTGACAAAAGTCCAGCTGGGATAACCACATTTACTCAGGACCTTCTTGATGTGATGTGTTCTATGCTACTTTAAAAAGTACTAGCTAGCTGTAGTATATTGTTGCAAAACCCTCAAAACATTTGAAGAGGCAGCAGCCTCTTTCCTGCAGATCAATGTGCAAGTTTTTGGGCTGTGGGAGGTACCTAGAAAGAAACTACGGCAGCACGGGCTCCACACAGAAATAACCCTGACCACATCTAAAACCACTTCTTGCTACGTAGTGAAAGTGCTAACAACTGCACTGTTCCCAGATCCAAACTTGATTAAAGATCTGGGCTTATTCAGGATCCAAAGACTCTGCTGCCATCACTTGTAGACCAACGTCAAGTGACACATCTATGGTTTCCTTGTCCATGCCAAGACATACCAAAGCTACTTTGGAGGCATGTTGGGGGAAGAACTGACCCAATCTTAAGCAGGTGATTTTAATTCTGAAGATCATATATATTTTTGTTATTTTATTGACCAGGCAATATGTCACCTTCACCTTCACCTAGGACATTCTCTTCAGTAAAAAGTACAGCACATAAGCCACAGCATATATATTCTAAAATGGACAGATCTGCTCTGAGTGGAGAGGTCACAGCAGGCCACTGTAACAGAGCCTTCTAAACACTCACACACATGTAGAAGCTGCCCAACTCACTCACATTGGAGCCAGAGACTTAATATGCATTGCTGGCACAGACATACATTGTCAAGACTGAGCAGAATGTTTTTGTGCAAGTTAAATGCGAGGTCGCACATCTCATCTCATACATCCTTATTAGACTGTCTCCATTCATGCTGGCTATATTTAGAAATCTAATTCAACATCTTTGTCATTTAAACCAGGCCAGGATATCCATAAAATGTGACGGCCCTTTAATAAGCAGCACCTGTAATTCTCCTTGAAATTTTAGAAGGGCGTTCTGCATCAGCAGTCCCCACGTGGGCTGCTTCTGTGCAGCTCCCAGTGTGAACTCATGGATATTAATGTATCAATATTGCCCAGTAAGGGTATCGCCACAAAATAGTGAGAGGGCATTTTAAGTTAGCATCAGTGTTTCACATCCGAAAATCCAAATAGAAAAAAAATCATAAACAAAGCAACAAGACTAATGGTCAGCATCACATACACAACTGTACAAAAAAGGTGCAGAACTAGCTCAATAAATCTGAGTGGGTGAAGTGAAAAGGCAGTTTTTGATCCATAATTGTTACTCAGGGTACCAGTGGATGAACAGCTATTAATTGTGAATTTGATAAACTGTCAGAATAAACAGATTTTAGTTTAGTAGTAAAAGCTTAAAAGTAGAAGAAGAAATTTTAAAAAGGCATAAGTATTAGTAAACCCCCCCAAAAGAGGTCAGTAAAAGGAAGAAGAGTTATATCAGGAAAAAATTAACATATGACTCAGGGGTACCTTGGGTAATTCCTCAATCTGGTTGGCATCTAGGTAGAGCTCCTCCAGAGTTCTCTCAAAGCTGAAGATTTCCTTGGGGACCTGCTGCAGGCTGCAGTGGGAGTAGTCCAACACTGAGATCACTTCCTCTTCACCACGGAAACAACGGCACGGCACCAGCCGGCCAATCAGCTTCCGTTTAGTGGTCATTTCCAGACACTGCACTGAAATGGCGAGAAAAGGAGAGAACAGACATGATGTTAGAGGCCTTTAAGGTTCAGCAGCTCGTGATTTTAACAGGCTTGTTGTACCTGTTTCTTATTAATTATATTATTTTTAATTTGTAGATATTCTATATGTAATTTAAACTGTTTTCTCTTTGTTTTAGATTTGTAGAACTTTGGCCAACACTGTTGGATGTAAAGTGCGTTATAAATAAAGATGCTATGCTATGCTACCTGATGGAGTTCTTCTGTGTAGAACCTTGTCAGTCTGATAGCATCATTAACAGTATATGGGCAGACTAGCGTACTAAAAGACAGGCTCTGATATAAGAAACTAGTTATACAAAGTGTTTCGATAGTGAAAAAATCGTGAGTGGGGTTTTCTATAAAACGTGGGAAACAAATTCTAAAAACTACGTGATAAAAAATGTGAGTTGCATTCATTCACAGTGACAGATTTTGCATCTTTTGATGAGTAATGAAATAAATAAATGCACAAAGAAACATTTTCACAATCCACCTACTGCAAAATTATTCATACTGTGCAGAAGGAAAAAATGTGCCTATTTGAATCTCAAAGTGCAAAGAACAATGTGTTAAACACAGTGGGATCAGATATAGGAGCTTTTCATTGTACAAATATCACCTACATGCCTTGCATAGACAGGAGGACTGTTCATCTTATGCATAGTGAGCCCTCCACAGCCTTGCAGAGGATGAGAAACCAGTGGTGACCAAATGGTTTGCTGAGTCACGTTAGTGTGTCTTGGGATTTTGTAGCAATCATGCATTTTTACTGCAATATAATTTTTAATGAATTACTGACTTGTTCTATCTGTAGGCACTCTGTAGGTCCTCATAAATACAGAAGCAAGCTGTCAAAAGTAATCAAGCCTGCTCAGACTTGATCCCACCAAATGGTGGTAATTTATACAGTGTGACACATCAAAGCCCCAATTCATGACAAGATGAATGACAAAATATGTGACAAAAAAATTTGATCACTTCCTACAACTAACAACACTTTGATCCCCACCAATAACCACCTGAGGAAAAGCGAGAACAGTATCAGCAGAAACTACTAAGCTTCAATAGCTTCAGTCAAGTCTGGGGTGACAAGAGTTCCTCGGTCCAAATTCATCATCAAGCTTAGTTAAATAACAGTAACAAGCATGAAAAGAAACTAGCATTCCTTTGAGGCTGAAACCAAAAACGTTTGATGGACTGTGTGAAAGTCTCATAAATGGTGAGGCAAGTCCATATTGGTGTCTTTTGCTACAGAAAAAATAATGCAAGTGTACCAGATGATAACAGATGCTGCAAATACACATAGCACCCTCATCTGACCATGGAAAGAAGGGAAGATATCAACTGATAAAGAGAGAGGGGTGAGCAACCTTTACTTTCAACAGAGTAATTTCTGAAATGTTTGCCCTTCTCAACCTTCAAATCAATGCAAAGCCAGTGAAGGGCATTAGACACTAGAGGTGGGAATCACCATACATCCCACGATACGATATTATCACAATAATTAACGCACGATACGATATTATTGCAATTTTTTAAAATATTTTGCGATATTCAGATTCTGTACATAAAGGTAAACTTTATCAATATTCATTTTATCTAATA